AAATTCAATCTGATCAGATCCTAAGATCTGGCTGATTTGGAATTGGTCCGATTCCTATCAGACTATCCAGTGTAGTCCTTCCCGGATCATGGATCGGGATGGCAATTCCTTGATTATAAAGCAATCAAGAATTAAATTCAAAGAAAATCTTATTTCGAGAACTTATCTTCCATGCGTTCAACGATGTTGCTTATATGTCGCTGTATGTTCATAATAAAACGGTGAACGACTAGTCGACTGACAGAACGCGAAAAATATTCGACACATTTTTGTAATAGAGAGCACAACACAAAAATTCACGCACATACAGCCGACGCATTTTTATTTAGTGTGCATGTTTTTCTCTGCTTCATGATCACACTTCAGTATGATTATTATATAGAACAATCAGTTGGACCTACTAGTGTTAGCTTTTGCTCACGAATCGTTTTATTGTTAACAGAAAAACAGAGACACAATCAAGAGAACAGTTACCATTCAACTCACTTTTTCAGAACAAAGTCATTAACCCTCTCTTCTCTTTTTCGCGCCTTTTTTTTATCCAATAACACTCTCCCGCTCTTTAAAACAGAATCATGTTTATTTTTGTTTTTAACGCGACGGTTTATACCATTGTTGAGTTGGTATAGAATCGATGTACGCTCGTTTTAACATATCACGATGTACTAAATCTAATTTCAATTGGCCTTTGACATCTTCTAATTGATATGTTCCTAAAGGACAAATCTTCTTGATATTGTATGGACAAAGCCAGTGAAGTTGAAATTTCTTTCTGTTTTTATTGTGAATTAAAACCCAATCATCTGGTTATAATTTATCAGCAACATGTTTTAAATGGTGGTCGTAATAAATTTTCATCTTAATAGCATTTGAATTAAGGCGTTGATGAACAGTATCACGTTGTTGCACTAGTTGACCTAATTGTTGTACACGACAGGTGATGTTGTTGTCTTCATCATCATTAATAATTGGTATTAATTCATCACCTGGTAATTTTGCTTCAACACCGTATACCATATAAAATGGAGTTTTACCTGTGGCATGATGTTGTCGGACTCGACATGCAAACAATGCACGATCGATGTATTCATCCCATTTATTAATATCATTATCACCTACATATTTTGCCAGCATGCCACCAAATAGACGATTAAACCTTTCGATAACACCATTCGATCGTGGATGATAAGCAGACGTTAAGATATGCTTGATACTAATTAATGTATAATATGAGTTTAACATTGTTGTTGTAAAATTATTACCACGATCAGTCAATATTTCCACTGGACATCCAAATTTAAAAACTATTTCTTCATAAACAAATTGAGCAACCATTTCATGTTTTAAATTTTGAGTAGCTTTAGCTATTGGCCATTTTGTTGTATGGTTGATTGCGACTAATATCCAACGGTTACCATTTCGTGTAACTGGTAGTTGACCAATGAAATCAAGACTACAACGATGCAAAGCTGGTACCGGTGTTAAAGGATGCAATGGTTCTGTTGTAGTTTTACCGCAAGTGGCAAGTTGACATTTAATGCATGTTTTGACCCATTGTTTAATATCATAATTCATTCTCGGCCACTAACCTCTTGTTTGTAACAATTCTTGTATAGCATCAACTCCTATATGTCCATACGAAGTATGTGTTTTAATAACTAAATCTAATCGTGAAATGTACGGTACATATGGATAGGGGCGTAACCAGAAAAAAATTGTAGGGGGGGATAAGTCGTTGGTCAAAGCCATGGTAGGGGGGGGGGGGGGGGAAAAAGTTTTTTTTAACGTGGGTTTTTTTTTTTAAGGGGG